ATTAATTACATTTTAAACTATATTCAAATAGAAAACAGTTATTTTGAATTGTAATAATATTTCAGATTTTTTCAGTTTTTACTGTATTTTTGATCAAATAAATGCAAGCTTGGTGAGTAGAAGAAAAAGCACTAAAAAAATCTCAATTATTCCAAATGACTGACCGCTGTTGTAAGTTGTCCATGTGACTCAAGTGTTTTTCATCATTTTAGGTTAATTATTTCTTTATGAAGTCACTCTTGTCTTCTCAGAGTAAGCGGTACAAACGGAAGCCAAAGGTCACATGTGATAACGGTTCTCTGGGTCCCGGAGGAGGACGAGCCATCTCCATCCCACAAATCACCTACGACCACATCGATGATAAAGACAAAGTCTTTTCTGAGGAGTCCACTGGTATGACTGATTTTCTGTTTAGTCAGTTGTATAATGCACAGCTGTGAGTGCTTAGTGTTTCATCAGTCTGGGTTCCATCAGTGTATCTTTCTCTAAAGACATGTAAAAAATGATTAAATAAGTATTTTGAGCCATGAAAACAGAATGAGTCAGCTCCCAGATGGATCACAAAAAGTGTTATTTTTTACTATTATTTATATACTATTATAGTATTTATTAAAGGGGTCATATGATGTTGCTAAAAATAACGTTATTTTGTGTATTTGGTGTAATGAAATTGGTCACTTTATTTTCCACATACTGTACATTATTGTTTCTCCTCTATGCCGAACATTTGGGCAGCGTTATGCAAATCTTCCCACATCGTGATGTAGACATGTGGGGGCGTGTTAGAACGAGCCGTTTTAGGAGGGCGTGGACGAGTCTTAACTCAAACTTTGGGTTTGAGACTTTAGTCTTTGCAACTTTAGGGATCTTATCTATTCACGAACAGCTTGTAACACAAGAAAAACTTGAAATCGCATCATATGACCCCTTTAATATTTTGAATTAGCTTTTAGTTTTATATTTTCACATTTTAATTTAAGTTTTCGTAATTTATTTGTGCTTTTGTCATTTTTTTATTTCTATTTATCTTGAATTTATTTTATTCAGTTTTAGTTCTAGAAATGTTAGTTACTTTGTCACTTCGTGTTATTGTTACTTCATCTTCAGCTTCAGATTTATATTAGTTACTTGCCAAGGCAACATTTCTATCAAGGCATCATTTTATTTTTGGTTCATTTTTAAGTTTGTTTTTCCATCTAATATTTATATTTTATTTAGTTTTTATTTTGATATTTACTTTATTCATAGTTATTTAGCTTTATTTTAAATGACTGAAAATGATTTTGAATGGTTTTAGTTAACGATAACAACACGAATCACAACATTTGAGAAAGTATTCCGATTCTAATCGAATCGATTGAGGTGTTTACATTACAGCTCTTCAGTCCGATTGAGTCCTCACAATAGTTTTTATTATTTTCAGGTTTTATTTGAATTTTAGTTTAGGTTTAATAATTTAGTTTTTTTTTTTTTTTCATTTTTATTTATTTATTTTAATATTTCCATTTGGCTGCATTTTATTTTTATTTTACTTTATTTTCTGATTGAGGAATTTTTTAATTTTTTTTAATTTATTGAGGCATTTACGTGAAGGCTTTTCAGTCCGATTGAGTATACACAATATTGTCATAATAATTGTAATAAATTGGAATAGTTTTTATTTTAATTGTAAAATAAAATTGACAAAATTGCATTTTTGACATTTTTAGTAGTTTTTGTTTTTCTATATATTTTCATTTAGCTTTTTTTATGAATTTATTTTTATTTATTAATCTGATTGATAAAGTGTTTGGATTCATAGGTTTATGTTGCTAATCGGGTCGATTGAGGTGTTTTTATGAAGGCTTTTCAGTCTGATTGAGTCATCAATGTGATTAAAATATTATTCGTTTGCATGTAAATATAGCCAGTGTTGACACGCTGTTAAGAAGAGAAGCTTGTTCCTGATGTTTCTTTTTAACCGTGTCACATGAAAAGTGTATCCGTTAAATGATTTAGACAACTGCAAATCTGAGCTTGATTTTATTAAAGACTAGCATATGATATCAGCCAAATTCAACAGATACATCTAATCTGGCTAGCAAAAAAAATTGGAAATTTTGTAGTATAGTACAAAAATATGGTTTCAGTGCTGGAGCAAAGTTGCAATTCATCAACCAGAAAACAAGACACAAAAGAGGCTCTTGTTGTTTAGTTACTCCATTCTTGTACCCCATAAATTGAGCGGAGGCGTTACGCTGAGCGATAAAGAGGACGGAAAGATGAAAAGCCGCCGTTTTGACCTGACCCATTTTTCCATATTGAATAGATGTCATTTTCCACATGCGAGTGGAACGCATCCGGTCCCCTGCTTAAACCCGTCTGTTAATAAGTTTGTTTTTATGGGTTTTCCTGCCGAATGGCTTCATCATAAAAGCAAACACATTAACACAGACGGTCCCCCGCAGAGAAGCCTCTTCTGAAGCTTCATTACGACTGAAGAGGGGAAAGAGAATGAAATCGCAGGCCTTTGAACTCGGGGAAAACGGAAAGATAAAAACACGCTCAGCGGTTTGGCTTATCAAAGCCTAGAGTCGGTTACATAGTCTGTAAGATATTTGAGCAAAAGTCTGTTTTTGTCATAAGCGTGCCAGCAACCACGTTTTAGGAAAAAGAAAGTGGCAACCCATAATGTGTCGTATTTCCGAGTGAAACTTGTCTGTTGGGAATTGACTGAATTGTGAAACGGTAGATCAAATGTTACATGTTTTTCCCTTCACACAGGCATCACAAAACTTTTCCGATCATCAGGTGAGAGCTTTCTCTCCGTGCCGCTGTGGTTTTTTTCTGCTTGCTGCTGCTTCTGCTTTTTTGCAAGTGCATGTTGTGTTATTGTGGCATCATGTCGCTTGCTACATAAAGGCAAAAAATGCATTTATTTGAGCAAAGTGTGAACGTTCAAAGGCAGAAATTTGCTTAAATGTAACAAAGTGTGTCAAAGCAGCAAGTCATTTCCATTAAAACATTATATTAAAAATGAATAGATTAAAAAGAAAATGAAACAAGTTAAATTTCTAAATGATCAGCGTAACTTTGTTACACACAATCTATTACATGACTTCTGTCGTCTGATTGATAGTTTTTATGTTTTTACAAAGTAAATGGCCTTTTAGTATAATTACAAATGTACAGAATATCATCTTCTTACTTCTTGGCCATATAAATAACATCTGCAAAATATCTACAAAATTGCATAATTTTGCTCAGTTTGGGCCTCTGAATAAAATTATGCAAACTTTTTTTTTTCACATTTTTTTTTATGGAGGATTGAATCTTGTATGTGGTGCTGTTTTAGTATGATTGAGATGCTTTTATAGTTTTTTTAAATTTTCCGCTTTCATTTTAATTTTAGTTAATGTTTTAGTAACTTTGTTGTGCGTTTTTTGTTGTTTTTATTAGTTATTGTTTTTCTGTATATATAGTTTTTATTCATTTGAATTTCAGCTTGAGTTATTTTAGAGCTTTAAGTTAAACTACATGAAAATGAGATATTGCTTTGGCAACTAGTTGAAATAAATGTATTTTATTTAAGGTAAAAATTTTTGTGGTGTTAATTTATTTAACTATAATAACGCTGCTTGTAAGACAGCGTCACTGGAGTCTTGAGGCATTTTGAGGGCCATCAGCGACAGAAATAGACCTAAATGAAATGTCAAAGGTCACACGAATGCCAAATCAATGAAATTAAACAACTTTATACATTATAAAGCCACCTCAGACGGTTTTGTTCATGTTGCAGTGTTTTCTTGATATTTTAGCTTTCATATTGATCATGTTCTGCCTCTGCTGCTCTTTCTTGTCTTGTTTTTTGTCGTATAGCATGATCTTTTGCGCTTTTTCTTTGTGTCTGCATGTCAACAGACCGCCAGCGCTCGTGGTCGGCTTTCGCGCTCAGCTGTCCTTCTTCTCCAGGTATCCGTCTTTTGCAAATGCTCTCCTGCTTTCTCAGTCTCTTTTCTTGAACTTTCTCCAAAATGCATAAATTTTCTGACTTAAGTCTGTGTATTTATTTTCATTCTAGCACATCTAAATACTTACTTTTATTTTTTTTGTGTCATGTGAGTTCGTGGTTTAATTGGACGTATTGTAATTTTCTCTACAGTTAAGAAAAAACTGGATGGCCCTGATATCTCGCGCAACAACAGCCTGGTGGATGAGCTGGACTTCACGGCCGAAGACATCCCTCTTCCTGTGGTTACAGATGCTTCACAGTGAGTTGCTCTGGTTTTTGGCTCAAAATGGCATTAAATGTTTGTGTTTGCTCCATCCATGTGTCTCTTCTGTGATTGCTCACTCGTGTGTGAATTGCAGGCTGATGTTGTTCAGGAGGAGTAGCATTTGTGTACACTCTTAAAAATAAAGGTGCTTAAAAGGTTCTTCACAGCGATGCCATAGAAGAACCATTTTTGGTTCCACAATGAACCATTCAGTCAAAGGTTCTTTAAAGAACCATCTCTTTCTCGACTTTTTATAATCTGAAGACCCTTCTTTTTCGCCACAAAGAAGCTTTTGTGAAACAGAAACAGTTCTTCGGATGTTAAAGGTTCTTCATGGAACCATTTAGACTTAAAGGTTCTTCTATGGCATCGTGAAGCACCTTTATTTTTAAGAGTGTATATGGTGTAAACATCAGATGCATTTTGATTTTCTACTTTTTCCCGTCATTTCATTTGTCTTTTAAAGCATTCTCACTTTTCTGAAACATCTCAAGATCTGCCTCTCCCTCAGCTGTGAGATGAAGGAAAGCGCCTCTTTCTGTCTTTCAGTCTGTTGAGAAGCCCGTTTGTGGCAAAGGAGGAAGAATCAGTCTCTACTCAGCACCTGAATACAACCAGGTACTGTTTCCTGTCCTTTGTGTTTGATTATGTGATCAGCCTGGATGGTGAGATGTTCTCTCTCTTTTGTCTCTCAGCTGTGGTGATTTTGAACTTTTTACTTGAACTATTTTAGTCAGTGTTTTTTTACAGAAAGTTCTATAATTTAGTAAGCCGACTCAATACAGTGAAGAATTTTTCAATCTTTAAATCTATGAATCTTTATGTAATTAATTTTTCCAAAACATCTAGGCTGCCGTGATGCAGTCATGTTCACAAGAAACAGATCTTGTTTCAACGAGTCAGTGAGTTGTTAATTTGACTGATTCAGTCTGATTTGTGAATGAATCATTCAGATTCCCACAGTTTTGGAAAGCCTGAAAATATCAGAGAATCTCAAAGTGTGATTTTCAAGACTAGGAAAAGTCATAGAAATTAATAAAACATTTTAAGATTTTGGAATAGTCATGGCAATATCCATAGACAAAGTATTTATTTTTATTTTTATAATTATTCCTTTTTTTTTTTTTTACTTAAAATGAATCTTTGAGAGTACAATATCCACAGTGATTTTTTTCCATAGACAATATATAAATATATATATTTCCATTGGCATTCTTATTTTAAGATATGATCAATACTAAATAATTTCTTTGACTAGAAGTGACTCTGAAGTGAGAGTGCAATCTCTATACAATAATTTTAACAAAATCTTTATCCAGTTAAATCCTAGAAGTTCTAGTATTCTAGATAAGTTATGGAAATTAATTTGTCAGAAAACGTGAGAACCTTGTGTGAATCAATTCAGCTGATTGACTGAGAAGATGATTGAATGATTCTTGCACAAATTCACACACAGACGATTATTTGATGACTGAAATTATCTTTGCCCAAACTCATTCTGGCAACCATGAAATGTTAAATGACTCGGTAAGTGTGTGTCGGTAGATTAGTGTTTGGCTGGGCTGGACACACAGGTCTGTTTCCGAGCCACACCTGTGAAAGCATCTCATGTGACTTTCAGCGCGTCCTCTGTGTTCTCCTGACATTGGACACTTTCTGCTCTCTTGTTGCCCCTGATGAGTTGTGTTAGCGTGGGCCTGTCCAGGAAAATGAAAGGATATCACTCTCATTAGGGCCTGAATGGGGGAAATAAAGAACAGGAAGGGCGTGAGAGAGGAAGTGGGCGGCCCGTGGTGTAAAGGGATGCTGGGTGTATATTTCACATTTACGACATTTAAAGGAATAGTTCACCCAAAAATGAAAATTTGGTAAAAATTCACTCACACATGCCATCCAAGATTAGGATGAGTTTGTTTCTTCATCAGATTTGGAGAAATGTAGCATTGCATCACTTGCTCACCAATGGATGTGAATGGGTGCCGTCAGAATGAGAGTCCAAACAGCTGATAAAAACACCACAATAATCCACAAGTAATCCACACCACTTCAGTCCACCAGTTAATGTCTTAAGTAAGAAACAAATCCATCATTAAGATGTTTTAACTTCAAACCGTCGCTTCCAGCTAAAATACGAATCCATAATATTGCTCTTTCTAATGAAAAAGTCTTCTCGTCTAAATCAGGAGAGAAATATGCGCAGATCAAGCACCGTTTACAAGCCAAAACAGCTCTAAACAAATATGTGAGTGGATTTTAATGTGAGACGACAAAAGGAGATGGACTTTTCTTCCTCATTGGAGGAAGCGTTATTATGGATTATGGTATTTAATTTTATAGTTAAAACGTTTTAAGGATGGAATTGTTTCTTTCAAACACGCAGCGTTTCGCTTCTCAGGATGTTAACTGATGGACTGGATTGGTGTGGATTACTTGTGAATTATTGTGATGTTTGACTCAGCTTTTTGGACTCTCATTCTGACGGCACCCATTCACATCCATTGGTGAGCAAGTGATGCAATGCTACATTTCTCCAAATCTGATGAAGAAACAAACTCATCTCAGATAGCCCGAGAGTGAATACATTTTCAGCAAGTTTTCATTTTCAGGCGAACTTTTTCTGTAAATCAGAGATTGAGCCAAAAGTACTGTTTAGTAGTTGTTTATGTTATTTTACAATCCATTTGTTTTATGAGTATCATCTTTGTGGCTCAGATTGGCCTGTAAGTGTGTGTGTTTCTGTTTAGCCTTCTCTCTTGATAAATGTAACATCATCCAGACACACTTTTCAGGTCTGTCTGGATAAGGTTGATGTGCTGTTTGGTTGGTTTGACCTTTGACCACATCTGTGAATGCATGCTGCCACAGTAAATGGTTTCATATCAGCCTAATCCTGAAATCTCCATCATTATGGACTTAAACCGAGACTTAAAATGTGAATGAGCTTTTGTGAAATATTCCACTACAGTTATTTTGTCTGATTAGCAAACAGTCCACAAAAGCGTGTTGTTCTTTTAGATATTCGGTCTAGTCTCGCCAAGAATGAACGGAGTGGGAACACGCGTCATATTGACACAAAACAACTCTGTCTGAGAAGACGTATAATGAGAGGATGAGGTGGAGGAGGAGAGAGTATGAAATCATCTCTGACTCATGTGCTTATTGAGATCATTCACACTGTGAATAACTTCAGTCACAGACAGCTTCTGATAATACAGAATGAAATATATAAATCTGAGAGCTCAGAATCTCAATTAAGGATGTAGTAGCAACTTTCTTTCTTTCTTTGAGTTTGTTTGGCATGCTGTGCTTCTCATACGATTTTCACAGTATGCTAATTCAAAATGTGCAGTATACATTCAGAGTACACTCACTGGATCCCACAATGCAATGCACTCGACTTGACCTTTCATTTCTAATATGATGAATGGAAAAAAGTTAATAGCTTTACCATAAATTGTAATAAAATGCAAAATAACCATTTTAAATATTTACTGTTTTTTTTATACATTTTGCATAATATATGCATTGTATGCAGTATGCATGCATAATATAATATATGCTAGAGATCTTGCAATTATATATTCAAAATACTATTTTTTTTATATATTTATATACAGTTTTTATTTTATTTTATGTTTTACCATATTTTAATAGTAACAGTATTTTAAATGCTATTTTTAAATCCATTTTAGCTATATAAAATAATTGTATTTATTATCTAGTATAATTTATAAAGTGTGTTTTATACCATGTTGATATGCATTTATATGTAAAACACTGGGTTATTATAGTTAACTAAAACCATTAAAAACATTAGTTACTTGAAATAAAATAAACTCTACCTGAAAAAATGTTTTTTTAACTTTATTTTATTTTATTTTATTTTAGCTAGTTGCCAAATACATAATTTCACATTTTTAGGTTAATATGATGTATCAAAATAAATAAAACTTAGTTAAAAATGAATAAAAACTATAAAGACATTTTAAAAAGTAATAAAAAATGATTAAAAAACGTTATAAAATTACTAAAATTCTAAAAGTAAAAATAAAATGAAAACAGAAATGATAAAAATAAACTTATTCAAAATATTAACAAAACTATAATAAAATATTAGTGACATTAAAATAACTGTTAATATATTTATATTGAATATCACTGGTGATTTACTTTTTTCAGATCTAAGGTAATTAAGGTAAATTGTGATAATTTTTGATTCTATATTTATATTGCAGTTGTTTGGTCACCACGGATATCTGTTGTTGTTTTGAATTGTGCTTTATAAATAAACAGACAGTGATGTTGCTTTATGCACTAAAGTACAAAGAAAAGCCTCTTTCTAATAATACATTTATGTTTGTTTGGAACATATATTTATGATGGATGTGTATTAGTGTATAAATACCAATATGTGAGTCAAAATGATGAATCATTTGTAAGTCGCCTTGGATAAAAGCATCTGCTAAATGAATAAATGTAAATGTGGAGCAGGTCACATATACAGTGGGTACGGAAAGTATTCAGACCCCCTTCAATTTTTCACTCTTTGTTATAAGGCTGCAATATAACAAAGAGTGAAAAATTGAAGGGGGTCTGAATACTTTCCGTACCCACTGTATGTCATTTTATATGCATTTTTCTATATTATACAGCACAAAACAATACACTGTGCCTGTTTTCCAAACACAACCCCGCCTGTCTCTTTTTCTCCGTCCTCCACCCATGTTTGTCCTGCGCAATCCCAGAATTCCTCAGTGATATCATTGCTGGAGCATGTGTGTTTGTTGAGCAGCGCTGTAAGCGTGAGTCAGGTGTATGTCTTCTCCAGCCTCCAGAAGCTGAACTCAGATCAGGTCTGAGACGGGTTAATCAGCCAGACTCATGAGGGCTGAAATGAAAGCTTGTGTCACATTATTGAATTGCTGTGGCGTCGTGAGAAGATCTTTTACTCTGTTCTGGCTGGAATGCTTGGAAATGTGCTGAGCGCTTAAACCGTTTGCACCGCCAGCTCCAGGTCAAATATCATTCAGGATTTCCACGAGATTTATTGCTTGTGTAACAAGGGCACTTGGCTTCCAGTCTCGTGTAGCCAGACGTTTGACTATCGGCATAAAGTCCAGTTTGGAGCTTATTCTGTGTATTATTAATAGTATTTAAATTAACTTGATTAATGTGTTTATAATTTATATATATATACTATATATTTGTGTGTGTGTGGTTTTATATATATATATATATATATATACACATATACATACACACACACACACACACACATATCAACTAAATTAAATATATAAATTAAATTTCACTGAGTTAAAATAAATCAAAATACATTTTTAATACATACATATACACAAATTTAAAAGCATTAATTTTAAAACAATATGATATCTATTTCTATTCACTTATATATACATATATATATGATATTATTGTATAATTGCTTATTTTATATATAAACTTTTGTGAAAAGTGGGGACATCCCATAGGCGTAATGGTTTTTATACTGTACAGACCGTATATTCCTAAACCCTAAACCTACCCCTTACAGGAAACTTTGTGCTATTTCAGATTTTCAATACACTCCATTCTGTGTGATTTATAAGCATTTTGAA